CCTCTCTCTTTTACATGAGGAGCTCAGGAGGTCCCAGCCCCGTGCTGAGCCTGGTACCACCAAAGCCAGACTTGATGCTGTGGAATCACTCAGGTTCCAGCACCACGAACGCACAGTTTGGTTCCTCAGCCCGTGAGCGGCCACCTCTGCCTCGCTCTGCTTCCTTTAAACTGCAGCGAGACGCTTGCAAAGCCGCACAAGATTTCACTATCGCCTTGCTGGCTTACGAGGTGAATGAAGAACTTTAAGAATAGCCCTGCTGCGAAAAGTAGTGTTTAGCCTTTTGTATCTTCATTCCCCTCTCCGCTGCCTGCTATCCGATGCTGCACGGCTGCGTTAGCGGCAGTAGACTGGGGAGCAAGTTATTTCTGTTCATTAAATGAGCCACTGTGTACACAAATGACATCTGTGTTGAGAAGCTGGAATGACCTCAGCACGCGGGTGGGGGCTTGTTTGCAGAAAGCAGCTCATTCCTAAAAAGCTGCTTCAGCGGCCTGGGCCCTGCTCAGCCAGGCCCCTTCCCCAGCACTGAATTACCGCCCTGTCCAAGGGTGACCCATCTGAACAGGCTCTGTGGGAACAAATGGGCTCCTCCTCATCCTTCACGCACCCCTCGCTTCTCGTGACAGACGTGGGGACAGATCGAGGCTTACAGCAGGGTCAGTCCGAGAATGGCGTTACGAACCAAGAGGCCCAAAGTCTGCCTCAGAGCTGTCCCGTGTCCCGCTCCAACAAAGCCCGCCCGTGAACAGCTCTGACTTTGAGCTGCTCGTGTACCACCCCTGTGAGCTAAACACCCGGAAGGCTGCATCCCATAGCTACAAAGCTGCCAGGAGCTTTAGCGGAAAGAGGACAGTGGGAAGCCGTTGGGAAGGAGGACTCATCTTCCAGCTTTGTTCTCTGAAAACGTGCTGAACACATGAAATCAGATAGAAGAAGGAAAAAAAAAAAAAAATTATCCTGCAGGACCATGAAGGTGTGGCTTTAGGGGCTAGGGGAGAAAGAAACGGCCTCTCTCAAAATTTCTTAGTTGATTGCAACTGAATTTGCAAGAATTAGGTAAAGAGCGGAACTAGGAAGTTGTGACAGCTGTGCACCACCAGCACAAAACTACCGGGAGACCTTGTGGCTTTAGTCAGCTTCAAATAACAGGTTTCCCTCGTTGCAACACTGCCCGCTGGAAATAGTATTTCATTATCTTTATACATT